TCAATATTCTTTGCCAACACTATGATTTAAATCAATTTTTCTTTGATCTTCCTTATTCATTGTCCAGTTTCCCCATGCATATGAGGTGATTGAAAATACCATGGCTTGGGTCAGACCTACCTTAGTCCTTAAAGTGACATCTTTGCTTTTTAAGACTTCAGGGAGGTCTTTTGCCGCAGATTTGCCCAATGCAATTCATCTTTTGATTTCCTGACTGTTGCTTCCGTGAGTGTTGGTTGTAGCTCTAAGTAGAATGAAATCCTTGACAACTTCAATCTTTTCTCCATTTATCATGATGTCGCTTATTGGTCCAGTTGTGAGGATTTTGTTTCTTTATGTTGAGGTGTAAACCATACTGAAGGCTGTAGTCTTTGATCTCCATCACTAAGTGCTTAAAGTCCTCTTCACTTTCAGCAAGCAAGGTTGTGTCATCCTCATAATGCAGGTTGTTAAAGAGTCTTCTTCCAATCCTGATGCTGCGGTCTTCATATAGTTGAGATTCTTGGATTATTTGCTCAGCCAACAGCTTTAATAAGTATGGTGAAAGGATACAACCCTGATGCACACCTTTCCTGACTTTAAACCATGCAGTATCTCCTTATTCTGTTTGAACAACTGCCTTTTGATCTATGTACAGGTTCTTCATGAGCGCAGTTAAGTGTTCTGGAATTCCCGTTCTTTGAAATGTTATCCATAATTTGTTATGATTCACACAGTCAAATTCCTTTTCATAGTCAATGAAACACATGTAAACATCTCTCTGGTATTTTCTGCTTTCAGTCAGGATCTATCTGACATCAGCTTGTTGATATAGCTTGTTCCACGTCCTCTTCTGAATCCAGCTTGAATTTCTGGCAGTTCCCTGTCGATGTACTGCTGCAACTGCTTTTGAGTGATCTTCAGCAAAATTTTACTTGTGTGTGACATTAATGATATCGTTCAATAATGTCCGCATTCTGTTGGATCACCTTTCTTGGGAATATGCGTAAATATGTATCTCTTCCACTCAGTTGGCCAGATAGCTGTCTTCCAAATTTCTTGGCATAGACAAGTCAGCACCACCAGCACTGCATCTGTTTGCTGAAATGTATCAATTGGTATTCCATCAATTCCTGGAGCCTTGTTTTTCACCAATGTCTTCAGCGCAGCTTGGACATCTTCCCAGTACCATCAGTTCTTGATCATATACTACCTCCTGAAATGGCTGAATGTCATCCAATTCTTTTTGGTATAGTGACTCTGTGTATTCCTTCCATCTTCTTTTGATGCTTCCTGAAATGTTCAATATTTTGCACATAGAATCTTTCAATATTGCAACTTGAGACCTGAATTATTTATTCAGTTCTTTCAGCTTAAGAAATGCCAAGTGTGTGCTTCCCTTTTGGTTTTCTAACTCCAGTTCTTTGCACATTTCATTGTAATACTTTACTTTGTCTTCTTGAGCTGCCCTTTGAAATCTTCTGTTCATCTCTTTTACTTCATCATTTCTTCCATTTGCTTTAGCTACTCTGCACTCAAGAGCAAGTTTCAGAGTCTCTTCTAACATCCATTATGGTCTTTTCTTTCTTTCCTGTCTTTTAATGACCTTTTGCTTTCTTTGTGTAAGATGTCCTTGACGTCATCCCACATCTCATCTGGTCTTTGGTCATTATTGTTTAGTGCATCAAATCTACTCTTGAGATGGTCTCTAAATTCAGGTGGAATATTCTCAGGGTTGTACTTTGGCTCTTGTGGACTTGTTTTAATTTTCTTCAGCTTCAACTTGAACTTGCATAAGAGCAATTGATGGTCTGTTTCACATTCTGCCCTGGCTTTGTTTCGACTGATGATATTATGCTTCCCCATAGCTCTTTCCACAGATATAGTCGATTTGATTCCTGTGTATTCCATCTGGTGAGGTCTACATGTATAGACACCATTTATGTTGTTGAAAAACTGTATTTCCAAAGAATAAGTTGTTAGACTTGGAAAATACTATTATGTGATCTCCAGCCTCCTTTCTATCCAGAAGTCCACATTTTCCAACTACTAATCTTTCTTCATTTCCAACTTTTGCATTCCAATCACCAGTAACTATTAATGCATCTTGAGTGCATGTTTGATCTATTTTTAGATTGCAGAAGTTGGTGAAAATCTACAATTTCTTCATCTTTGATATTAGTGGTTGGTGTGTAAATTTGAATAATAGTATATTAATTGGTCTTCCTTGTGTTGTTGTTAGGTGCCATCAAGTCAGTTCCGACTCATAGAGACGTTATGTACAACAGAATGAAACACTGCCTGGTCCTGCACCATACTCATAGGCGTTGTTATGCCTGAGCCCATTGTTGCAGCCACTGTATCAATCCATCTCATTGAGGGTCTTCCTCTTTTTTGCTGACCCTGTACTTTACCAAGCATGATGTCCTTCTCCAAGGATTGATCCCTCCTGATAACATGTCCAAAGTATGTGAGACATAGTCTCGCCATCCTTGCTTCTAAGGAGCATTATGGCTGTACTTCTAAGACAGATTTGTTCATTCTTTTAGCAGTCCATGGGATATTCAATATTCTTGACCAACACTGCAACTCAAAGGTGTCAATTCTTCTTCCATCTTCCTTATTCATTGTCTAGTTTCCACATGCATATGAGGTGATTGAAAATACCACGGCTTGGGTCAGGTGCACTTAAGTCTTCATCTTTGCTTTTTAACACTTTAAAGAGATCTTTTGCAGCAGATTTGCCCAATGTGATGTGTCTTTTGATTTCTTGACTGCTGCTTCCACGGGTGTTGATTGTGGATCCAAGCAAAATGAAGTCTTTGGCAACTTCAATCTTTTCTCCATTTCTCTTGATGTTGTTTATTGGTCCAGTAGTGAGGTTTTTCTTTTTTTTTCTTTATGTTGAAGTGTAATCCATACTGAAGGCTGTAGTCTTTGATCTTCATCAGTTAAGTGCTTCAAGTCCTCTTCCTTGTAGGTGTATGGATATTATCCTATCGCTGACAGCATTGTACTTCAGGATGGATCTTGAAATGTTCTTTACACTAAATAGGATATATTTTATCATAATATTGTAAATCTTTATTATTAGATTTAAATTTTAAAATTGGAAGAATTAATTATTGATTCAGAACCAAATATAACTGTTACAATCTTTGAAAATGTAAAGACACAACAGACAGACATTGCTAAGTCAGTTGGAAGATCAGAGGGGAGTATAGGGATGGTCTTTTTCTCATCATGCATAGTAGGATCTTAAGAGACAGAGTCCAAATTTAATAGATCATGAAATAGATATTTAAGGTTTCTATTTAACATAATAAAAATACCATAGAAGACATACTTAATAAGAATGTAAAGATGGATGATAGAGAGGAGGAAGTGGTATTAATGTAACATTTTTCATCTTTCAAAAAGGAAGAGTCATTAGGCAATATTTAATGTTGATAAAGTAAAAAGTATTGATGAGAATATTTTTCAGATATTGGAGGTAAAGCTCTAAATAACTGAATAAAACTAAAGGCTCAATATGGTTAAGTTTGGAAATGGGACTGGTACTGATTAGGTAGAAAGGAACACGATTGTTACCATTTTATTCCCTCCTTAATGTTAAAATTGCATTTTACTATGCATTGTTTTATACTAATTGAAAAATATTGTTATAAAAAGATCTCCATTAAAGCATTAGTGACAATATACAAAAACTAGAAATAATGTTAAAGCGACTATAAAGTTGAGTGGGTAAATAAAGTATGCTATACCCATATGATGACATACAGCTACTAAAATCAGATTTGCAGAGAAACTTTGTGAAAAAAGATATGGTGAAAAATTCATTATGGAAAATTTAAAGGAACAAAATTTAAAAGTTATTTATGTATTATAACAAAAATCCATAAAAATGTTAATAGAGGTACCTCTACTGAATTACCACTATGTTGTACAGTCATTTTTCTCTTTCAATTTTTTTCTAACTTTTTCATTGATAACATATTTATCAGTTTAAAAGGGAAGAGTTAGTGACATTACAGAAAATAACATGGCTGTTTTGTTGCTCCTCTAAAAAAGAAAAGGGGCCATAAAAGGAATAATGACCTTAAGTAATGCAACATTTGAATATTAAAATATATCTTTTTTATATATTTCAAGATTGAAGACCTAAAGGCTAAAACTGATAATCCTATACAGTTTTATAAAGAAAGCAGGTAAGTTAAAATGTGCCGAAGAAACATTGCCAGTCTTTTAACTCTGAAGTCCTTGGAGGGAAGAAACCTGCATTTTAGCCTGATTTGTTTTAATCTTTTCAAAGACAAGAAGAATCCACTCTAAGAGATAAAAAGAAATGGTTCCTGATACATTCTATGAATGAATTTTACACTTAAACTTGGCAAGCAACTGCCCTGGAAGTAGCTCCCAAACGTTTTACCTCAAGGAGTTATGCTGGCATTTGATGCTTCTGTATTTGGAGTTATCATGAATTTCATTCCTCAGAGAAGTGTTTGGCTTAAATTAATTTCAACCTCTTTTCTGCCATTAACTCATTATCACTAGCTTTTCTCAGTCCTTTATGCACGTCTTCCTACCTACATTATTGTCTATACTTCTTCCTTGCTATGTGATCTCTATTCATTCTACCCACTGCAGCACACACAACCGTCAATGAGTGCTGTCATTTCACACTAGAAACCATAGAAGCTACAAAACAACCTAACAAACAGCAAAAGACACTAAAAAATACATATGCCACATAACTGTGATTGACCAGAAGATATATATATATATATATAGACATAAATATGCATACATACATACCTTCTGCAAACAAATGATTCAACTCTTGCTTTTACAGCATTATAATAAAACATGTAATTAACCATTTAGATGAATAAAAAACTGTCTTCTGGAGGAACACTAATAGATTTAAGAATAAATTTATTATGTAAATAATCTGAAAATAATCGTATTTGGCTTTCAGCTCTCCTTTTGTCAGAACAGTGCCTCTCTACTACCTGTCCTACCTCGTTGAGCGTGTTTCTCATCCTTGACACAGACTTCATTAAACGAACCAATTGGATCACAACGACATGGCTGACAGGGTCTTGAATACTTTGGAGATACCTGAGAAAAAAGTTTAAAATGCTTTTAATCAAGTGTATTAAAAACACCAATATTTTTCTATTCTGAAAAATTTTAAGAACCAATTAATTTTAATAATACATAGCAATACATTATTTTGCTAAAATTCATAATATAAAAACTGCATATTTGCAATTTACAGAATCCACTTTTTCTAATAATTTATAAGATTTGCAAACAATCAAAATGAAGGTAGCAAAAGAATAGGTAATTTAAACCCAAAACAGGTTAAAAAAATGAAATAATAAACATAAGACCAGGAATCAATAATTAGAACGCAGACATAATAATAAAAAAGGCAAACATCTTTTTAACAGATTCATCAAACTGATAAATCTCTAAGTTATCAATAAAATAAAAAAAAGGCAAATATTAATAATTTTAGAATTAAAGAGTAATAACATAGGCACTATAAATTTAAAAGAATAACAAAGAAACATTAAAAATGTTATGCTAATAAATTTGATAATTTAGATGGGATAAATGAACTCTTTTAAAAACATAATGTAGCAAAACTGACCCAATGAAAAAAGGCAAAACTTATCTAGCCCTATATGTATTAAAATTGAATTCATTATCAAAGCCCTTCTCAAAAATAAAAATTAGAGGCCTAAATAGTTTCATTGGGAATTTCTGTTGAACATTTTTAATTCCAATATTACAAAAATTATTTTAAAAAATAGAGGAAGAACTAGCATTTCCAAACTCATTTTCGAGGCCAGTATTCCCCAATACAAAAACCCGGCAAAGACATTTTAAGAAAATAAAATTGCAGACCAATATCCCTTATGAGAAGACACAAAAAGTCTTAAATAGTAAACTGAGTCATCCAAAATATTAAAAAGATAATATTTTATAACTAAGAAGGGTTTATCTCAGGCATGCGGGGTTGATTTAATATTAACGAAATCCATCAGTTTATATTCACCACATTAGCAGAATAAAGGAGAAAATCTGTATGTTCATTTTAGTAGATGTAAAAAAAGCATTTCATAAAACTCAATACCACAGTATTATAAAAACTCTCGGCAACATAGAAATAGTAGGGGACTTCCTGAATTTGATATAAGGTATCTGTGAAAAATCTACAACTCACATAATACTAAATGGTGAAATATTACATGTTTACTTTTAAGATTGAGAACAAGGCAAATAATATCGGCTCTAACCATTTTTATTTAACATTAGCATAAAGAAGGAATAAACTTGAATTTATTTGCAGAAAACATGATTAATGTGTAAGCTTCTAAGGAATCTAGTTTAAAACTACCGAAACAAATAAGTGAAAATAGTATGGAAATGGAATATAAAGTCAATATAGAAAAAATATTTCTGTGTTATGGCATCAAAGAATTAGTCATTTTTAAAAATATATTTTTAAATGGTGCAAAACACTGAGGATTAAATTTAACAAAGGCATATGAGATCTCTACAGTGAAAACACTGCTGTGAATAATTAAAGAAGACATAAATAAATGGAGAGATATTATATGGTCATTGATTGGAAGAGTCAATATTATTAAGATGTCAGTTCTCTCACCGTTAGTCTATAGATTCTGTATGACAATCCCAAATAACATTTCCTGTAATTGACAAGTTGATTCTGAACATAGAAAACTTAAACTTAACCTTCAAAAGAAGACCAAATTTGGTGCGCTTGTTATTAGGTGCCTTTGAGTTGGTTCCAACTCATAGTGACGCTGTGTACAACAGAAAGAAACACTGCCTGGTCCTGCACCATCCTGGGCTCCAAAGAGTTTTTAATGGCTGATTTTTTTTGTAAAGATTATGCTCGCAGGTATTTATAAAAGACAAAATGAAAACATGATCACGAAAGGATTTGTATAGAATCGTTTGTGAGAGTTAGACCCAAACTGTAAGCAATCCAAATGTCCATCACCAGGAAAATGGAGTAAAAAGTATGGTATTTTCATGCAATGAAATACTATGCAGCAATACATGAATATAAAGAAGAACTAACTACTCATACATGCACCACGGATAAATCTCAAAATGTATGTTAACTGAAAGACGGAAGACACAAAAGAGTATGTACTGTATGATTTCATTTTTATGAAGTTCAGTAACATGGAAAACTAAATTATGTGCTAAAAATCAGAACCGTTTTTGACTATGGAGTGAGGAATTGACTGGAATAAAGCACAAGGGAACTTTCTCTACTGACAAATGTTTATATCACATTCTCAAAGATTTATATCAGTTTCAGCTGGGAAAGGTTGCTAGTCACCTTTTGGAATTTGAAGTTCAATTTACTAGAGAAGCTATCAAAATTTTTTTTCTGTATATTACATCTCTGTATGAAAAAGATATACTAACACTTCATAAAACAAAGAGCATACTTTACCCCTTTGGGTCTGAAGAAGCCATCGGCGCATGTCTCACAGTTTATACCGGCGGTGTTTTGGGTACAATTAATGCACACACCCCCTCCGCTGTACTTTCCATGTACATTTAAACTCAGATTTCTTCTGGCAACAGTTTCATCGTAATAGCACTCTTCAGCTTTCCCATGGCAATTGCATGCTGCATCAGAGAGAAATAAATCAGTCAACATTAATTCCAGGTTTCAGATATATTTAAAAATTATTTTCTGTTATTCGTGAATAGATTTTATACTATATTGCAAACTACATTACATTTAGCGCACACACAGGTATATGCTATCGATCATTCCAAAAGTATCGACAAAGTATTTGAATTTATTGGATGCATTACTACATTCACAGTTTCTCATGCAACTTGAAATTACCCAAATGAAGCTGAATCATGTAAAATTGACAATATTTGACTGATTTTGACTAACAAGATTCCAGTTTCATATGATTCAACCTATAATTTCCAATTATGACAAACCTGAACAAAAAATTATTGAACAGTGGCACTGTGTGATTAATAACCAGATAACCTGTAATGAATCATTGCTGTTCTTATTGTTAACTGCCGTTGAGTCAATTCCAAGTCATGGCAACCCTATGTGTGCAGAGAAGAATTGTACTCCATGGAGTTTTCAAGGCTGTGACCTTTTAGAAGCAGCTTGCCAGGCCTTACTTCCTAGGTGCCTCTGTACGGGTTCGAACTGCCAACCTTTCAGTAATAATCCAGCGCCACCCTGGGACTCCACATAAATGTCTGTTAGATCCTATGGGTAGAAAGAATGTGTAGGCTACAGTCCCCCCTCTTTTACTATTACTACTAACAACAAAAACTTGTTTTATTGTTTTCTTTTTTATGCTAGGCTTTGTTCTAAGTGTTTCATATTACTACTGATTTTAATCCTCAAAATAGTTCTAAGAGTTACCTATTAACTTTTCTTATGTTAGGAACCTGAGGCACAGAGAAGTGATGTAACTTGTACAGGATAACATAATAAATATTGGGAACCAAACTCAGAAATCAAGCTCCATGGTCAGTACTGCTAACCACTTCCACATCCCTTCATGTTTGGACAGATAAGGGAGATAAATATATGGTAAACCACTTGCAATAGACTAGATTTTGACTCATGGTGACCCCAGGTGTGTCAGAGTACAGCTGTGCTCTGTAGGGTTTTCAGAGGTTGACTTTTTTGAAAGTAGATCATTAGGCCTTTCTTCTGAGACATCTATAAGGAATTTCTGGGCGGACTCGAACCATCAACCTTTTGGTTAGCAGCCAACTGCCTTAACTATTAGTACCACCCAGGGAGTCCAGATGTATGGTAGGTGTCAAGCAATCAGGACAAAATAAGAACTGGTTTACTTAGTGGCTAAGAGCATACTCACTTGCACTAGTCTTGGATTTGAGTGTCCTCGTTATTAAAACCAAAAACCCACTGCCATTGAGTCAATTCCGACTCACGGCAACATACAGGACAGAGTAGAACTTTCCCATAGGGTTTCCAAGGCTGTAAATCTTTACAGAAGCGGACTGACACATCTTTCTCCCACAGAGCACTTAACCACTGTGCCACCAGGGTTCCTCCTCGTCATTACTTAGTAGCTATGTGACTTGGGCAACTTCTTAATTTCACTAAGGCTCAGTTTCCATTTGAAACATGAGGTGGTCAATAGTAATTAATAAACTAGTTGCCGTTGAGCTGATTCGGATTCATGGGAGCCCATGTATGTCAGAGTAGAATGTGTTCCATAGAGTTTTCATTGACTAATTTTTCCCAAGTAGATGGTCAGGGTTTTCTTCTGAAGTGCCTCTCAATGGACCCTACCCTCTAACATTTCAGTCAGAAGCCAAACGTGTTAACCGTTGCACCGTTCACCCAGAGACACCAGTTCCTCAACATAGCAAGCATTTAAGTATTTGCTGAATGAATGAATGGACACTTTGATAAGTTAGAAAAAAGTAATTTTTGTTGTTTTAATTGGTACTACCTTAATTATCTCTTTGAAGAAGTACAACCAGAATGCTCCTTAGAAGCAAGGATGGTGAGACCACATCTCACATACTTTGGACATGTTATCAGGAGCGATCAGTCCCTGGAGAAGGACATTATGCTTGATAAAATAGCAAGTCAATGAAAAAGAGGAAGACCCTCAATGAGATGGACTGACACAGTGGCTGCAACAATGGGCTCAAGCATGGCAACAATTGTGAGGATGGCGCAGGACCGGCAGTGTTCTTTCTGTTGTGCATGGGGTCGCTATGGTTCAGAGCCAACTTGACCGCACCTAACAACAACAACAACCACTTTGATTATGACTTGTTGTTGCTGTTGTTAGTTGCCATTAAGTTAATTCTGACTCATAGTGACCCCAACTATGCAGAGTGGAACTGCTCCATAGGGTTTCAAGGCTGTGACCTTTCAGAAACAGATTGCCAGGCCTGTTTCAAGATTTCAAGATTTCAAGGCACTTTTGGGTGGGTTGGAACCACCAACGTTTTGGCTCACTTAACTGTTTGCACCACCCAAAGACTCCTAATTATAACTGTGATAATATTTATGTATGGTTATAAGTATTTTGTTGTTGTTGTTCAGAAATGCCTGTTTTGACCTTTGGTCATTTAAAGGTTATTGATCTTTTGTCTTATTGATTTGTAAGTTCTCTTAATATAGCAAGGATGTTATATATAGACTTGTCATGTTTGTTGCAAATACTTTCTCCAATCTGCTGATTTTTATTTAGAATATAATATTTTTCTATATTATTGGAGAGTTTTCAAACTTTATTCTAGGAAACACATAATAATAAGTATAAATTACTAGTAGTTATAAACAGTTTTGGAGCCCTGGTGGCACAGTGGTTAACAGCTCAGCGGCTAACCAACAGATCGACAGTTCGAGTCCACCAGTGGCTCCTTGGAAACCTTATGGGGCTGTTCTACTCTGTCCAGTAGGGTTGCTATGAGTTGGAATCGACTCGAGGGCAATGGATATATAAGCGGTTTTATATCTTTAGGACAATACACAGGAATTCTTAAAAACCCTGATGTAAAAATATATTACAAAAAACAGTTAAAATTTCTACTGCCAGTGTAAGTAGAGGGAAATATAAAGTAATACAAACTTAATCTCACACTGTTTAGAGTTAGTTTTACTAATAATATTTATAGCCATGAGCTAATGTCGGTAAAACACTGATGTTAGAGCAGCATTGCTTTCACACTCCATATGGCAAGGTCCCTCAGCCTGCAGCCCTTGTTGTTATCTATGGGCCCTGCTCTCTGTACAGCTCTCCTTGTATAGCTTCAGATGACATGGGTGACAACTGATCACAACAGCCACTTTTTACTCCATCATTAGCAGTTTGCTATTTCAGAGGATATTCAAGACACATGATATGAAACTATTCTTTAGTAAAGGCTTAGTAATGGAATGAATGGGCTTTGCTCATTGGAGATATACCTTGCTTTAGCTAAGCTAGACTGATGGCAATCCAAATTAAACTCAAATGAATTAGGTGACTAGTCATTTAACAGAGGGATTTGTCATGTCACGGAAGGATTTTTCTAAATATTAAGGTGATTGGAGTGTGATTCAACTTGGAAAAGAAAATTCTCACATAAGCTTTTAGGAACATATACATCGCCAAAAACATGATATTTATATATGATTTTATGGTTAAGGCCCCATCTTTAATTCTGCTTTTTAAATGTTTAATTTTTCAATTTGGAAATAAAATCTCTCTTCTGCCCTGTAAAGAAATGAAAAAATACTTCATAATCCCACTATTCACTAGCAAGTGAAAATCTCCTCTGACTTATCTTAGTCCACCCCTGTTGCTAACAAGTTTCATCTGTCTTTTTGTTCTCTGTGTTTAAATATGTATACCCAAGTAGAGAGTAGTGAAGGATTTTAGATATCCACTTACACTACTGTTCGTGTAATCAAAATTATAACTGTGCGATATAACATCAAAAGCAACAGGAGGAACCCCTACCTTCAAATGCCTCTCCCACTTGTGATTGCTAATATGCCACAAACAGAAGAGAAATTTAATTCAAATTTACAGAGGTTTGAGAGCAAATAGCCTTGGGTGGCATTTGATTTAAATGCATTGTTTGGAATGAATATCTGCTCTCTGTGAGAAGTTGCTAAGCACCTGAGAGACTGGCAAGCTGAGGGTGAATGGCATTGAAGAAAATAAAGGTTGGGCCTCCAACTGTCTCCCTCCTACAACAGTGGGTAGTGGTGGCCCAACCTCCAGCTATGTCCCAGTAGTAATGGGAAATTTCCAAATCAAAATACCTCTATAAGCAGGCAGACCCAAATCAAAAAGCTAAAGAAGTACATCCAAAAAACGAAGAAACAAGACATTGATAGTATATGCAGAATCTTAAACTGAAAAGAAAAAAATATATATATTTTATAGTGGAGAATATTTTATGATCAAAGTTTACTATAATCTAATAGTTTTAAAGACGTTATCATGTGATAGGTAATAAATATTATTTGAATTCATTTGTTAGTCAATAAATATATAGAATTGGTAATAGTTTAAAATGTCTACCAAGCCTTTTCTGGAGGCCATATATATTTATTGAGCTGAAAAAAAATATGGTAAGGTTGATTCATTAAAACATTAATATTGGCATTCAGTTGAATTGGGCTTCATACTACGTTGGGTCTATAGCTCAGCACAAGCTTCTGTTTTTTTGGTCATTTCTTGGCCTGACGAGATTGCCAGAAACAGACGTTTCTCCAGCATCCTTGTCACCATGTAGGGCCATTTGGCACTATTGGGCTATAAAATCACCTGCTACACTTCTTGAGTATTTCTCTTTAGGAACAGTTAGACATACGGGTTGTCTTCAAAAGTGATAATTTAAAGTATAAATAAGTATTTATTGTCACATTTGCAGAACCAGTCTTCTTACTATTTTCATTACCCATTTTTTTCTCAGTTGTCTCTGTCCAATAATTGTTATAGCGTAGTTTATGATAATGGTTCTCATTGATGTCATTTCTAATATTAGTAGTTCTATACAGTTGTTATTCACATGAAGCCATGTGTTTAAAATATTACCACTTACTATTATAATAAGTGTTCATTTTCCAAAAATTTTATTTCTTGCCTTCCCTGTCACCTTCTCCATTTCCTAGTTATTGCTCTCAAATGTCATCCCTTAATAAGTATAACTAATGAATCATGGAGACCTGGTGGCGAAGTGGTTAAGAGTTTGGCTGCTAACCAAAAGATCGGCAGTTCAAATCCACCAGCCACTCCTTGGAAACTCTATAGGGTATTTGTACTTTGTCCTATAGAGTCACTATGAGTCGGAATCGACTCGACGGCAATGGGGTGGTAATGAATCACAGTGTTCTTTGTTTTTCAGATATTAAGTGGCCTCTAACAAGTAGGGTATAGTCTCTCACCTCTTACTTTTCTCCCTTCATTTGATGACGAGTTTTCAGGTCCATTTACTAAGAGAGAGGGTAGAGTAGGGGGTGCTAAGGGAGTAGACAGAAGGAGCTGGAGCTAACACTGGTGTTAGAACCATTTTATAAACCTATGTGTTTAGAAGGCTAGTCTCTATATAGTCTATGCTTTGCTGAATGCTTACTTACATTAGTCTATACATACATTTTATTATAAGCTTCAGTTTCACCATGATGACAATAAGTGTACACGAATTTTTTATCTATTTCTCCCAACCCTATCACAGTGGTAAATTCACAGGTGTTTGGCAAACATTTTTCAAATTAAAAGAAAAAGAAAACCTTGAATAGTAATGAAGATAACAGAGTAAAAGAATTTACCAGCTATTACCTCAGATAAAACATGTAAATCAGAAATAGGAGTTTTCCTAAAATCACCATATGTTTAAAATACCTGTCTCCAAGGAAAGAAAGAATTACACATTCTACGGCTTCTCAAGAACATACCTTCACATTCAGTCTTCGTTAGAAAAGTTCCAGCTCTCCAAGGTTTCTGATGGAATCCTGGACAGCATTGATCACAACTATCACCACACGTATTATGCTCACATTCACAGTGGGATTTCTAGTCAAAGAGGAAGGGAAAGGCAAAATTTTCACATTATATAGAACCATAAATGAGGGTCTTTCCCTGAAATTTAGTGTGAAGAAAAAAGAAAACCTCTAGACTCTGTACCAATATGTAAAAACTCTTGTTGGTCTGGGAAGAAAGTGGTTCCTGCCTGAGGCTGGTATATGTGACCAGCACCAGCTTAGAGGGCTCCGGGCTGATTCTGGACTCACTGGGCTTAGGCTTAGAACAGAACATGGAGGCCAAATTAGCACTGGTGTTGAAGTGTGGAATCTCCTTCTCTGATGCCTAGGATATGGAGGTTTTCTGGGTTGGATGTGTCTATTTTAAGGTTTCCCTCAAAGTACTGCTAACATTTTAGGTAGTGTGAACAAAGAAGGGAGTTGATTCCTAGGCATCTAGGGGAACAGGTAGAATAGAAATCAAATGTCCTCTAGGACTAAACCTCTTGTCTGGGTGAGCTGCATGGACCTGACTCTCCAAAGCTTCCTGTGGATTCTCTAAGCTTGGGAAACACTGTCCATCAATACAGTTGATAGTGAACTGTTATGCCCTGCAGAAAGCAGCACTGGAACTTTGCCTGCCTAGATATACCAGGGTATTTGAACCTTCCCTGGGAGATAACACTGTGATCCATTAGTTAGAAAACTAGCTTTGAATGTAATATCATTTGTATTACGCTGTTAGTAGCGGGAAAAAAAAACAACTCATAGCCCAACCTATGTTCACTGATCTTTCTATTCAATGTACTTCTTCCATCTACTCCACAGTAGATGATTTTGTACTTCACCAGTTTGTTTATGATTGAGAAAAACAGACGGTCATTCATCTTCTTCTTTAGGTTATGTTCACATAATACACTGACATTAATGAAAAATTCTACTAGAAGGCATTCCAGCATTTTCTGGCCTGGCAATTTCAATTGTTTCTTGAATATTTTCTTCTGCCCCACTCCCTATTGGCCCTGCCCTGCCTGAGCATCCTGTTTCATGGCCATTATATATTTATTTCCATGCCCATCTTTCATTATTTTGCATTAATTTTTTTATTACAATCTTTAAAGAAATGGCTAGGGTGATTGATAGCAGGCATTCTCTAAAGCTAAATCATGTAGCAAGCTGTCATAGCTAGAGAAGTTTCAAAATAGATAGACCAGTTTGGAACCTTTTTAGAAAGAACTAATCTGTTTTCTGATACTGTGATGGCTGACTTTAAAGTCTATCATCCCAACTGCCAGCTCTATTTCACCCTGGCACAGCCTTCTGTTACACTAAGTGGGGAGCTGACACCCATTCACAGCATTTCCTGTCAGCAAAGCCTCACATGAAGCATTTTGCAGTTCAGAGCTTCATTTCATGTAAGCATCCTATAAATATACATACATTTGTCACTGGATCAAGTGGACAAGCCCTGGCATGACCATAGCAGATGCACATCCCTCCGACCGAAATATCCTTGATGGAGTAGTAATACTGCAAAAAGCAATCCAGAGAAAAATCCTGTTAAGAAGACTCCAAGGTGAAAGTAACAAAAGGGAATGCTCCGTTAAAACACTTTACACTTGTTTTTATCCTTAGTTTGAAGCAAGTTTGTGTTCTTCGAAGACATTTAGGTGTTCATAAAACTGAGGAAGTCACTCTTAGTATTGTAATAGTAGCCCAAAGAAAGGATGCCTATAATATATGTTGTTGTTTGTTGTTAGGTGCTGTCAAGTCGGTTCTGACTCATAGCGACCCTACATACAACAGAAGGAAACACTGTCCAGACCTGTGCCACCTTCACACTTGTTGTTATGCTTGATCCAATAATTTATGTTATGTTAGGTGGGCATTTTAGAAGTTTCGATTGGACAGATAGCACCTATTATTGAGAGTAGTTTTTATCTGGGGCCAAGGACTATAATTCTTCATAAAAGTTGTCTTACTTAGTTTCTTGAAAGAAAACCTTTTTTATTGTCATTATAGGAACCTCATTCCTGGTATAGTCGACCATATGATTGTCTGATTCAAAATGGTCAATACGAGTCCATTTCAGCTCACTAATGCCTAGGGTATCAACCATCAAGCATTCCATTTCATTTTTGACGACTGCCAATTTTCCTTGATTCATACTTCATACATTTCATGTTCCAATTACTAATGGATGTCTGCAGCTGTTTCTTCTCATTTTGAGTCATGACACATGTCTTAGTCATCTAATGCTGCTATAACAGAAATACCACAAGTGGGTGGTTTTAATGAAGAGAAGTTTATTTCCTCACAGTCAAAGTTGGCTAAAAGTCCAAATTCAGAGCGTCAGCTCTAGGGGAAGGCTTTTTCTCTCTGTTGGCCTTCCTCTCTTTGGTGTTCCCCTGGACTAGGAGCTTCTCTGCACAGGGACCCCTGTCCAAAGGACGTGCTCTGCTCCCGGCACTGCTTTCTTGATGGTATGAGGTCCCCCTGTCTCACTGCTCACTTCCGTCTTTTATATCTCAAGACATTGCCTCAGGATACAATCCAATCTTGTAGACTGAGTCCTGCCTTACTGACACAACTGCCACCCATCCTCCCTCATTAACATCATAGAGACAGGATTTACAACACATAGGAAAACCACACAATACCAGGAATCATGGCCCAGCCAAACCGATACACACATTTTTTGGGGGACATAATTCAATCCATGACAACACATCAGCAAATGAAGGTCCCGAAAGCTTTACTCCATCCACATCATGAAGGTCAACTCTATTTTGAGGAGAAAGCTCATCCCCAGTTGTATTTTGATTGCTTTCCAACCTGAGGAGCTCATCTTCCAGCACTATATCAGACAGTGTTCCACTGCTATTCATAAGGTTTTCACAGGTCAATGTTTCAGATATAGACTACCAGGTCCTCCTTCCTAGTCTGTCTTAGTCTGGAAGCTCCACTGAAACCTGACCACCATAGATGACCCCGCTGGTGTTTGAAATACCAGTGGCATAGCTTCTAGCATCACAGCAACATGCATGCCACCACAGTAGGACAAACTGACAGACGAGTGGTGTACTATGCCAGGAATGAACAATTGAAGTGAAATAGAGTCACATTCATTGTAAAAAAAAATAACATTTCTAGATCTATTCTGAACTACAACACTGTCAATGATAGGATAATATGCTTACACCTACAAGGAAGACGAGTTAATATGACTATTATTCAAATTTACATACCAACCACTAATGCCAAAGATGAAGAAATTAAAGAATTTTACCAACTCCTACAGTCTGAAGTTATCAAACCTGCAATCAAGCTGCATTGATAATTAATGTTGATTGGAAAGTGAAAGCTGGTGTCATGGATTGAATTGTGTCCCCCAAAAAATGAGTGTTGCAACTTGGCTGGGTCATGATTCCCAGTATTGTATGGTTGTGTAATCTGATGTGTTTTCCTTAAGTGTTGTAAACTCTATCACTATGATGAGATTGTATGTGATCTCCTTATGTGTTGTAAATTCTATCACTGTGATGAGGTTACACTGATGAGGTTGACAAGATTAGATAGTGTCTTAAGGCAATCTCTTTTGAGATATAAAAGAGAGAAGTGAGCAGAGACACATGGGAACCTCATACCACCAAGAAAGCAGTGCCAGGAGCAAAGCGCGTCCTTTGGACCTGAGGTTCCTGCACAGAGAAGCTCCTAGACCAAGGAAAGACTGATGCATTACAAGGACCTTTCTCCAGAGCTGACAGAGAGAGAAAGCCTTCTGAAGCTGAAGCCCTGAATTTGGTCTTGTAGCCTACTGGACTGTGAGAGAATAAACTTCTCTTTGTTAAAGCCATCCACTCGTGGTATTTCTGTTAGAGTAGCACTAGATGACTAAGACAGCTGGGAATAAAGAAGAAGGATCAGTACTTGGAAAATAAGGCCTCGGTGATAGAAACAATATCGGAGATCTCATGATAGAATTTTGCAAGACCAACGACCTATTCATTGGTAATACTTTTTTTCAACAACATAAATGGCGACTATACACGTGGATCTCACCAGAGGGAATACACAGAAATCAAACTGACTATATTTGTGGAAAGATACAATGCAGAATTTCAATATCAACCTTCAGAACAAGGCCAGGGGCCAACTGCAGAACAGATCATCAATTGTTCATATGCAAGTTAAAGCTGAAGCTGAAGAAAATTAAAACAAGTCCAACAGAGCCAAAGTATATCCCTGAGTATATCCCACCTGAATTTAGAGATCATGTCAAGAATAGATTTGTTGCACTTAACACTAATGACTGAAGACCAGACAAGTTGTGGGAATGACATCAAGGACATTATACACGAAGTAAGAAAAGGTCATTAGAAAAACAGGAAAGAAAGAAAAGACCACAATGGATGTCAGAAGAGACTCAGAAACTTGCTTTTGAGTATAGAGTAGCCAAAGTGAAAGGAAGAAATGATGAACTAAAAGAGATGAACAGAAGATTTCAAAGGACAGCTTGAGAAGATAAAGTATTATAATGAAATGTGCAAAGACATGAAGTTAGAAAACCAAAAGGAAGAATACACTTGGCATTTCTTAAGCTGAAAGAACTGAAGAAAAAATTCAAGCCTTGAGTTGCAATACTGAAGAATTCTATAGGCAAAATATTGAATGACCCAGGAAGTATCAAAAGAAGATGGAAGCAATATACAGAGTCACTGTACCAAAAAGAATTGGTCAACATTCAACCATTCCAGGTGGTAGTATATGATAAAGAACCAATGGAATTAAAGTAAGAAGTCTAAGCTGCACTGAAGGCACTGGTGAAAAACAAGAGTCCAGGCATTGATGGAATGCCAGTTGAGATGTCTCAACAAACAGATGCAATGCTGGCAGAGTTCATTTATCTATGCCAAGAAATTATAAAACAACTACCTGGCCAACCAACTGGAAGAGATTTATATTTGTGCCTATTCCAAAGAAAGGTGACCAAACAGAATGTGGAAATTATCAAACAATATAATTAATATCACATGCAAGTAAAATTTTGCTGAAGATAATTCAAAATTGGTTGCAGCAGTACATCAGCAAGGAACTGCCAGAAATTCAAATCAGATTCAGAAGAGGACACAGAGAAATGGATATTATTGGTGATCTTAGATGGATCCTGGCTGACCGCTGAGAATACCAGAAAGATATTTACCTGTGTTTCATTGACTATGCAAAGGCATTTGACTGTGTGCATCGTAATAAACTATGGATAACATTGCAAAGAATGGGAATTCCAGAACACTTAGTTGTAATCATGCAGAACCTGTACATAGACCAGGAGGCAGTAGTTCAAATAGAACAAGGAGATACTGTGTGGTTTGGGAACGGGAACTGTGTGCATCAGTGTTCTATCCTTTCACCATATTTATTCAATCTTTATTCTGAGCAAATAATCCCAGAAGAAGGACTATATGAAGAAGAACATAGCATCAGGATTGGAGGAAGACGACCTGCGGTATGAGTGATACAATATTGCTTGCTAAAAGCAAAGAAGACTTGAATCACTTACTGATGAAGATAAAAGACTACAGCTTTCGGTATGGATTACACTTCAGCATAAAGAAAACAAGAATCCTCTCATGTGGACCAATAAGCAACATCATGATAAACGGAGAAAAGACTGAAGTTGTTAAGAATTTCATTTTACTTAGATCCGCAATCAACGTCTGTGGAAGCAGCAGTCAAGGAATCAAATGACATATAGTATTGAGCAAATCTGCTTCAAAAGATCTCTGTAAAGTGTTTAAAAGCAAAGATGTCACTTTGAGGACTAAAGTACGCCTGACCCAAGCCATAGTGTTTTCAATAGCTTCAGATGCATGTGAAAGAAAGCTGGTCAATGAATAAGGAAGACTGAAAAATAATTGATGCATTTGACTTATGCTGTTGGTGAAGAATATTGTATATACCATGGACTGCCAGAAGAACAAACAAATCTGTCTTGGAGGAAATACAGCCAGAAGCTCCTTAGAAGAGAGGATGGTGAGACTTCATCTCACATGCTTTGGACATGTTATCAGGAGGGACCATTCTCTGGAGAAGAACATTATGCTCGGTAAAGTCAGCAAAAAAGAGTAAGACCTTCAAGAAGATGGATTGACACAGTGGCTGCAACAAAGGGCTCAAACATAGCAATGATTGTAAGGATGGCACAGGACCAGGCAGTGTTTTGTTCTGTTGTACATAAGGTCACTATGAATTGGAACTGACTCAACGGCGCCTAAAAACAGTAACAATATAAGAACTTCAATATTCCCAAATCACATGCAGACTGTTTTATTTGATGGTTTTGAAAACAGTCAACCAATTATGAGAAACTGTGCTCATAACAATAAATTTCTTAATCATATAAAAAGGAAATGAAAAGTAACTGAAAGTTTGATTTAAAGTAATGTGAGGAATAAATTAGATGTGCAGTACACTTGCTTTTTTCCCTTCCATTATTAGTTAAAATGTCTATGCAATTATCTTCCCGTCTGTAGTTAATGTAGTACTATGTTCCTAATTACTTTAATCTACCCAGCTATTTTTAATGATTATTTATAATTATAAAACTAGACATTTTAAAATTCTAATTAATATGTATATGAAATTTTATAATTGTTGGAGTAGTTCACATTTTCCTATGGAATCCAAATAACCGCCTTAGTGGTAAATAGCTCTATTATTCCACTTTACACAGATGAAAAACACTGACTTAGCAAGGTTAAGTAGGTTCAAGCATCTGAGTTTCTTGACTACAAATCCTCTTTTGCCTTTGAACTTGTGGAATTAGCTAGGAAGTTTAGGTAAGATAATCTGCTTTTAATTTAACGTCATCAGTTAATAATATAGATACAATACAGTGATATGTTCAGAAAGCTGATACAGTAGTATTTATAGACGCTTTTAAAATTGAGAAATCCATTTTATGTATGAATGTATAATGCTTCACTTTTGCATCATGAAGAGGAACTGAAATTCATTATCCTATTTTTATATGTTTAAATTTACATAGAATGTTTAGTGAACTTAAGTACTTTCAAAAATACATTTATATGTTGAATTCTATTGCACTATCTTCCTCATAGGCTCATGTACAATGCAGTTATAAATAATAGATATACACCCCAACCCCCATCTCTGTCTTCTGCAAAAGATGAAAGAAGGAATAGTAATTTATTGCCATTGATTTTTTTCTCTCTGATAGATATACTGTCAGGAAAGATTAAATTTCACTTCAGTATTATTCAGTCTTCCTCAGTGTATTTTTTAAGTCATGCCAAAATTGGAATTAAAAGTGATTTTTTAAACAAATGAAGAATATAAAGCATTGCTATAAAATAATGATTACTTCTGCCTGAGACTATCTACAATATGCTGAAATATGATACATGGTAAATTGTTTCAAGACTGGAAAATCCATGGCATTAAAACATCTGACATATGTTGTGTGGGGATAACCAAAATTTGTAAAGTTATTTTGTGATAACGAAGAGGTTAGTTGTGGGAGAGTTAAATAATGAGACAAAACATGCAACAGGTATTCAGAAACCTTGAGAAGGGCTGCCCTTAGATATTTAGCTCACTAGTTCAGCAACTTGGCATCTGGTGGCAGTGGTCTGAACTTAGTAGGTTCATTCTACAGCTAAGTGCTTTGCCCCACAGTCTTAGTTTCTCCCTACAGTCCTCTTTCCCACATACACGTCTCACTATACAGTAGATAGTCTGTTGGCATGGATTTGCTTTATGGCTTTATGACTCAATCGAGTCTCTTGGTAATTTCTTGGTCTGTAGCAGTGTATGAGGAAGATGATATAAGCCAGTGAATATGGTGCAGGGGAGACAGATTGTTGTTTTTAGCTGTTGTTGAGTTGTCCCCAGACTCATGACAACAAAGGAACCAGAACTATCACAGGAACTTGGGCTGATCATCTATGTTATAATCCCACAAATTTCATGTCACTACTGGAAGCAGAGAATACCAGAAAGATGTTTATCTGTGTTTTATTGACTATGCAAAGGCATTTGACTGTGTGGATCATAACAAATTATGGATAACATTGCAAAGAATGGGAATTTCAGAACACTTAATTGTGCCCATGAAGAACGTATATATAGACCAAGAGGCAGTTGTTCAAACAAAACAAGGGGATATTGAGTGGTTTAAAGTCAGGAAAGGTATGCGTCAGGGTTGTATCCTTCCACCATACGTATTCAGTCTGTATGCTGAGCAAATAACCTGAGAAGGTGGACTATATGAAGAAGAATGTGGCATCAGCATCAGGATTGGAGGAAGACTCATTAACAACCTGTGATATGCAGACAACACAACCTTGCTTGCTGAAAGCAAAGAAGACTTGAAGCACTTACTGATGAAGATCAAAGACTACAGCCTTCAGTATGGATTACATGTAAACATAAAGAAAACAAAAATCCTCACTACTGGACCATTAAGTAACATCATGATAAATGGAGACAAGATTGAAGTTGTCAAGGATTTCACGTTACTTGGATCCACAATCAATGCTCATGGAAGCAGCAGTGAGGAAATAAATCTATGTATTGTATTGGGCAAATCTGCTACAAAAGACCTCTTTAAAGTATTAAAAAGCAAAGATGTCACTTTGAGGACTAAGGTGCGCCTGACCCAAACCATATTTTCAGTCACCTCCTATGCATGCCAAAGCTGAACAATGAATAAGAAAGATCAAAGAAGAACTGATGCTTTTGAATTTTGGTGGTAGCAAAGAATATTGAATATATCATGGGCCACCAGAAAAACATACAAGTCTGTTTTGGAAGAAACACAGCCAGAGTGCTCCTTGGAAGCATACTTGTTTTTTGTTTGTTTGTTTGGACATGTTATCAGGAGGGACCAGTCCCTGGAGAAGGACATTATGGTTTGTAAAGTAGAGGGTCAGTGAAAAAGAGGAAGACCTCGACGAGATGAATTGACACAGTGGCTCCAAAAATGGGCTCAAACATAGCAACAATTGTGAGGATGGCGCAGGAGCAGGCAGTGTTTCATTCTGTTGGACATAAGGTGGCTATGGGTTGGAACCAACTCCATGGCACTTAACAACAACAAAAAATGACTGGAAAACAGGACTTAGGTTAGTTCCTTATGTTTAAAGATGTGCTGAAAATAAGCTTTAACCTTTTTTTCTTCTGATAATCTATTTGTAATGGAAAATACAACAGTATATAGAATCAGTTTTCCCCTGGAACAGTTCTATTTCAAACTATGGGTTGTGACTCATTAATGGGGCATAAAACCGAATTATTTGATTGGACAAAATGGTCCACAGATGAATAGCATCAACATCATCTGGGAACTTGGAGAATTGCAGAATCCTTGCCCTGCCCTACACCTACTGAATCAGAATATGCATTTCCACAAGATCACCAGCTGATTCTACTTACCTTCAAGTTTAAGATGTCTCTCGCTCTGTCTCTGTGCCTGTGTATGTGTGTGCGTATGTATGCAGTGGACCACAATATAAAGTGCATTTTTGTGTGCGTTATGGCCAAAAATGTTTCAGAGCCCCTGCACTTCAGTAGTAATTCCTTAAAGTCACTTGTATGGTAGTAATGATCACCTAAAGTGCCAGAAACTACCTAATTGTGTCCTCAAAAAGAAAATTAGGAACTAAGCAGTATGATCCCTCATTTTTTACAAGGAAGAAATTAAAATTTAAAAATGTTAAAAACTTGGATAAATGTTTCAAACCTACTTAGTGGCAGAGCTTAGATTTGAACCAAGGCCTGTCTAATTTTAAAGTCTGACAATAAGCACTCCTACAAATCATTTTAAGATTTCTTTTTAAATTCTTTAACCCTTTAACCGACAATGAAAATGATGGGTGCAATTTCACTCACAACTGCCAAAATAATTTCATAACTTACTCTTCTTGTGACAATGGGGTCAATTTCTCTTGGATCTTTGTGGGCAAACATCATCAAATCAGCATTCAAGGTGCGTATTCTCTGAAATCTCAGGCGAATATAGCGAGCGGAGGTAAATTCCAGCAGTTCAGGAGAAGGGTCATCAGCACTTGGTCTTCCATTGATCAGAGAGATGTGAATCTAAATAATGTGAAAAAAAGTTTAACAATTAACCAAAAATAAATAAACTTATTTTTTTTTTTTCTTGTAGGGAAAAAAAAAAAATTAAGCCTCCCTTCTCCCAGTTAGTTAGGCAGATGCAGACTCATGTTTACTGGCTGGAATGTAACGAAATAATCAAGGCATTTTATGGATCTTTGATACTTGTCCTTGCAATTCAAATCTTTACATCTTACGTATTGTCTATATACTACAACTACCCATATTCCTCTGTTCCAAGGAACTTTTATGAATTTCACCTTCCTAGTATTTCCAATCATTCTTTTTCTGAAAATAATTGTGCCTTAAATGTTTAAGAATCTGATATACAGCTACTGGGAAACCATAAAATTTTTTTGGGGGGGCGTTTGATTTTTTTTTTAATTGTACTTCAGGTGAAGGTTTACAGAACAAATAGTTTCTCACTAAACAGTAGTACACATATTGTTTTATGACATTGGTTAACAACCCCACAACATGCCAACCCTCTCCCTTCTCGACCTTTTT